AAAAAAAAAAAAAAAGACCTAAGCGCTAACATAGATTGAGTTCTTAGAGTGTGTAAAGCATAACTCTAAGAGTTTTCCTGTGTTATGTTATTAATTCCTCACAACAACTCTATGAGGATGGAACTGGCTTCATACCCAAATTTCGGGTGAAGAAACTGACCCCAAGATATTAACTAGAGGGTCCAGTGTGACACAGCTAAAGAGCTGTGGAGTCAGATTTGTACCTAGGTAATAACCCAGAGTCATCGACCTGAGTTATGCTGCAAATGGAATTTACAGAAGAAAGGAAAAACCACCAAATAATCCCACCACCCAGAGAAAAGCACTCTTAGCATTTTAGATTCTCTTTCCTGACTTTTTTCTTTGCTTATACACACAAAGAAAATGTAATAATATCATACTATATATACAGCTTACAAATAATTTGATTTTTTTCTTAACAATTTGCACTGGCATATGCCATGTCAGTAAAGACCCCTCTCTGGCATCATTCTAATGGCTGCCAATGAGGCCACTGAATGAATGAGTCTCCTCTCACTGGGCATGAGATTATTTCCCACCTTATGTTATTATGAACAAGGCTACAGAGAATATCCTTGCCCAAATATTTTGAGCAATTATCTCATTGTTTCCTTAGGATAAATTCTTTGAAGTAGTAGGTCTATGACAAAGATAGATAGTAACGTTTCAGTGATCTTTTATCTTAGGAAAGATATGGCAGCTCAAGCTCACTGGAATCCTAGATAAAGGGCAAAAGTGAGGGTGGGTGTCAATGATGACTTCTCTAAGTAATAATAAGAATATTCTGTGTCTGTCTAGCACTGCACAAAGGTCAAAGCACATTCACACACATTGTTCACAAGCGTCTCTAGCCACAGCCAGGGTCATCCTCCCCCAGCTCACAGGTGAGGGCCAGGCCTGCCAGGCCCACCACCAGACCCTTACATGCCCTGAGCCCAGCCTGCCCATGTTCTATGCCTTGGTGTCTTTCCCAGCCTGACCACCCCCATATAACCAAAGGTTGGCACAGCAGCCTGGGCCCTTCCCAAGGAGACAGTGACTTTCCTTTCTGCTCAATTTTGGTTCCAAGTAACTCACAATCAGTGCCATGGCATGCCCTCTTACATCTGTCTTCTTCGCTGTGTGGCCGACCCTCAGAGAAATAGGATTAACCTTTCCTAAAAGGCACCTGAGGCTCTGTTTCTGCTTATTTTTCTCTCTTAAGCATGAGCTGGAATCCTGGGAATTCTCAGGAAATGAACCTCGTGTGTTTGCTGTCTAGCTCTATAAGACGTACATGATATAGCTCTTAAAAGCTTCTAAAGTACCAGATTTACTTATTTATTATGTATTTTTTTGTTGGCTGTCTCCCAAACTGGAATGTAAGTGCCATGAAGGGAGGAATGTTTATCTCTTTGGTTCCCTCATGCATCCCAAATGCCTAGAACAGTGCCTGGCCCATAGAAGGTACTCAATAAATATTTGTTGAAAGAATAGGATGGAAAAGACCATCTGTTCCATCCTATTCTGGTCTGAAAAAGGAAATGGGAAGGTGCATTAGTTTTCTACTGCTGCTTAACAAACTACCGCAAATCTGCTGGCCTAAAACATCCATTTATTGTCTTGCAGTCCCGTAGGTCAGGATTCTGGGCATGCATGACCGAGTTCTCTGCTCAGGGTCAAGGCTACCATCAAGGGATCAGCTAGATGACTGGGACAACCCACTTCCACGTTCCTATGCTGTTGGCAAAATCTAGCTCCTTGTGGTTATATGGATGAGGTTCCTTCTTCTTTTGCTGGCTGTTGGGTGAAGCCACTCTTAGCTTCTAGAACCCAGCTTCTAGGCCCTTGCCATCTCCACAGGCAGCTTGCAACATGGCCATTTCCCCTTCAGGGTCAGCAGGAAAATTTCTCATGCTTCGAATCTCTTCCTTCAGATAGGGCCAGTCCCTTTTAAGAGCTCTCCTAATTAGAAGAGGTCCTCAGGATAAACTCCCTTTTGATCAACTGGCTTGGGACCTTAAATACATCTGCAAAATCCCTTCATCTTTCAGTGTCACAGAGTCAGGATTTCCAGGAGGGAGAATGCTATGAAAATACCTTTGCCATGCCTATGTTCAGAGCAGCATTAATCACAACAGCCTAACAGGAAAACAACACGTGTCCATCAACAGATGAATGGACAAACAAAATGTGGTGTGTGCATACAATGGAATATTATTCAGCCTTAAAAAGAAATTCTGATACATGCTACAACATGGATGAACCTTGAAGACACGTTATGCTAAGTGAAATAAGCCAGTCACAAAAGGGCAAACAAACACTATATGATTCCACTTATATGAGGTACCTAGAGGAGTCAAATTCAGAGACAAGAAGTAGAATGGTGGTTTCCAGCGGCTGGGTGCAGGGGGAATGGGGAGTTAGTGTTTAATGGGTACAGCATCAGTTTTGCAAGATGAAATTTCATGTTATATATACTTTACCACAATTAAAAATAATAATAAAAATATCTTTGACAATGAAACTATTTACAACTATTTTTAACTCATTTAATAGACAGGCATGTGTCTGCATTGTCACAGGCACCGTGCTGGGTGTTGATGGATACAAATATTAATGCAACAGGCTTCACTGTTACATTCACTGAAGTTTGTGTTTTAAGGTAATTATCATTACATCAAAAATCACCACAGAAACAATGGCCCTAATGAATTTTCCCCATTCCAGTTGGAAGTATAACTTACCTGCCCTAGATCCAAGGTGACATTGACCATGTTGTACCGTGTGCCTGAGGAGAGAGGAGGGCTTTGCCACCAACGTTCAGATCCATCAATTGCGTTGGTGACTGGATGTGCTTTCCTGGGGTCCTCAGAATTGCAGTAGTCACAGAATTGCCCCTAAGAAAAACCACAAAACAAAACAAAAAACCCTCTTTTTTATGTTCAAGTAATTTTGTCTTATCAGTTTAGTCAAAAAGATAACTAAAACAAAGGCTGCTTTATGTAGCTTAGAGATGTCAGCTGTTGAAGTTAATCATAGTGCATTCTGAAGACAGTAGTAAGGATTTCTCTGTTTCATTTCATCTTAAACCCTATCACCTGTTTATACCCATTTATCGTGTTTCTCAGATATAGATTCTATTTAGCTTCCATCCTTCACAGCTTTGTGTTTCTTGTCCAATATGACACTTTAAGAAGAGCCTGTTGTACTTGGGATGCAAAGATCTTTTCCTTCAGCAAATCCTTTTTACTGTTTGTAATCTACTTTGGGAAAGTTCTGTGTCAGGCACTGGGATGCACTCTCAGGAGAGGTGTTAAGTACAGCAGTTCCCCCTTCTCTGCAGGGGATACATTCCAAGACCTCCAGTGGATGCCTGAACCCACACATAGTACTGAACTCTACCACGTTTTCTCCGATACATACCTATGATAAAGTTTAATTTATAAAGTAGGCACAGTAAGAGACTAACAACATTAATAATAAAATAGAGAGATTGTGACAATATACTGTAAGAAAATTATGTGAATGTGGTCACTTTGTAGTAGGCAGTTAGAGAGGCAAGAGTAGAGCAAATGATAGGCCAGGTGCAGAGGGTCACCAGAGCAGAGAGCCCCCGAGTGCCTAGCAATGGGCTAAGCTACCATCCCTCACACCACCACTCCCTTAAGCATTAACCTCTGGAAGGGGACATCTAGGCTTCAGCTCAGAGAAGCAGCAAAATCAGATGAGTGATGCCATCAGGACATCTGACATCAGGGCCAGCTCCATAAACTAGTGAACCCCTGGCACCGACCAATCAGTGGAGACCACGAGGGGACACACCTGCAAAGCTGATGAATGGTCTATTGGGGTTCTCCCTTAACGCCTCTCTGTGGAGCATGTTCACGCCTTGAACTCAAAAACTGAGCTTGCTGAACCAAAGTTAACACCTGGTGCCATTTTTTCCACCACTAACAACTTGTTTCAGGGGATCCTTTGTATAGGCTCAGTGCTTTCTGACGCCATCAATCAGAACATGCTTTCTGTTCCTGTCTCCCATAGACAAATTTAATACCTTATCCAGCTTAGCTAAGGGCTTATCACACACTGTGGCTATAACTTTTGCAGTCTGAGGTGGGACAACAAAACTGGCACAAATTTCTTTTCTTCTTCACAGTTTCACAGGTAGAAGATTCGTTCTTACCATAGATCTCAGCAATCTCACCATACAATCTTTTTTCTTTCCTTAAGTAAAGAACTTTCACCTTTTCACTTAGAAGAAGAACTTTACAGCTTCTCTTTGGTATATCCAAATAGCCAACATCACTACTCTTGCACTTTGGAGGCTATTATAAGTAATATAAGGGTTACTTGAAAATAAGCAGCATGGGACTGAGACCGTCAATCTGATAACCAAGATGACAGCTACTAACTAAGAGTAAGTGTCTACAGCGTGAGACACCAGACAAAGGAAGGGATGATTCACGTCCTGGTCAAGATGGCTCGAGATTCCATCCTGCTACTCAGACTGGCATACAATTTAAAACTTAGGAATTGCTTATTTCTGAAATTTTCCATTTAATATTTTCAAACCACAGTATATGAAGTCCACCATTGGGTACACATGATTATTTGACCCAGTTAAAATATATTCAATATATAAGAAAGGCCTATGTTCAGCATTTTAGATTGTAATGGCTGTGAAATATATCCCAAACTCCTACAAATCAATAAGGAAAGTATAAACAGTTCAACAGAAAAATGGGCAAAAGTAGGAATAGGCATTTTACAGGAGAGGAAATACATGTCAATAAACATTTGAAGAAATGTTCACAATCACCATCACTAGGGATCAGGGCAGACCACAGTGCTAAACTGTTTTTACGCCCATTCATTAGGATCAAATTTGAAGTTTGAGGATAACAAGTATCGGAAAGGATGTGGTACGAGTATGAACTGGCATAAAGACTTTGGGAACTGTTTTGGCATTACCTCCTCAAGTAAAAAAAAAATGCACATTTCCTATGACCCAGAAATTCTACCCTCAAACTCACAACTCAGATAGAAACTCTTGCACCAATCTGATGGCATCATGTTCAAGAATATTCACAGCAGCACTGTTCACAAGAGCATACTACTGGGAATAACCTAATTTTCCAGCACAGGAAGAGGCCCAGATCGACAGTGGGACAACAATGAATAAATGAGTATAAGCAACACCATGAAACAGCATGGATGAATGTTAGCAACATAACATTAGTGTGAAAAGCACGATATACTTTTTATGAAGTTAAGAGCACTTACTTTTTTGGAATATATAGAGATGGAATAAAAACTATATAAGCCCTGGCAGGTGTAGCTTGGTGGGGTAGGGCCTCAGCCCGCGCACTGGGGGGTTTGGGGTCTGATTCCGGGTCAAGGGCACATGCCTGGGTTGCAGGCTCCATCCCTGGCCCTGCGGGAGGCAACCAACCAATGTGTCTCTCACACTGATGTTCCCCCTCCCCCCTCCCTATCTCTTTCTCCTTTCCACTCTCTTTATAAAGCAACGGAAAAAGTATCAGGGATGAAGATTAACAAAAAAACTGTATAAAAAGTAAAACAAAGGAAAATTAATAAAGGATTCAGAATGACGGTTACCCAAGATTATGGGAAACAGGGAGATGGGAGGTGGGGAAACCATATGGTTAGACATAAATTATTATCAAGGCCCTATTTTTTGTTTTGACAGCAAGTTCACGAATGCTTACTATACTATTTTAAATCCATTCATCCACGTATATATTAAAGCAGACTATGCGAGGGCCAATGACGAAAGCATGTCATAACTGAGGGTTGTGAATAATCTATAACCCAACTCTGCACCTGAGGTCCAATGTTTTTAAAGTAGCCACAAATAACTAAAAGCAGGACAAAAACTGATAGAAGTCAGAGATGAGGGAGACAGAGAGAGAGCAAAGAGGCTCTTGTGTTCAATTATTCATCCTTCCATGCGACAAACCTATACTGATCATACTCTGTACCAGATGCTATGCCAGACAGAGAAGAGAAAATGGAAAGAAACAGGACACGGGACTCGTGCTCTGAATTGCGTTAAGGCTAATATTAGCCTAGTCATATGGGACATAGCAAACGTACTAGAAGGGGCTAAAAGGAAAGGGGACAGAACTGTTCAAATAAACAACTAAAAACAGTTGTGTTCCAAGGATGGAGGACCCCAGAGGATAAGCCAATCTTTGCCCAGAGGCCATGGAGTGACCCATACTTTTTCAGACGGATAAGAAAAAATAGTCTCTCCTACTTGCTAACATTTTTGATGATACTCCTTAAATAAAAGTCTCATATACATAATACTTTGCAACTGAATTCACAATACAAACATTGTCTTGTTCTAAGACATTAGAGGTTGATTATAGCACGGCTCCCTGACAGAAGTTCTCTATTATGGTTTGAACATTCATTCATTTACTCAACTTTTTCAAATTGCCTACAATGTGTTAAGCACTGCATTGAATGCTGGAGGAAAAACCAACAAACACTAAGAGTGGTCCTGCCCTTAAGTGGGAGAGAAGTAACTTGAACACCACGTTACTGAAAGGTGCTGGGATCAAGACAGCAGGAGAGTGTGGGAGCCCGGGGTGGCACACCACACTTCACTTGGCTTAATCTTCAAAACACTCAGGTTTATATCAAAGTATTCAAGACTTAAAGACAAAGAAGTGAAGACTTAAACAGGTGAAGTGCCCCAAACCACACAGCCAGTACGTGCAGGAACCAGGACCTGTGCGGGTCTGGTGACGTTACTCAAAGCCCAGAACGCTTTCCATCCTGGCCTGGCTGCTCTGTGAGCTACATCAAAGAGCCCTGTCCTAGATTTGGATGGAGTGTGAGGCGGCACTGGAATAGCAATTATGTGATTTTGCNCATCCTGGCCTGGCTGCTCTGTGAGCTACATCAAAGAGCCCTGTCCTAGACTTGGATGGGGTGTGAGGCGGCACTGGAATAGCAATTATGTGATTTTGCAAACACCTGCCAATGACCAGATGTGTGGAAGGAGACCCTGCTCAGAAAGGAACCCTATCTGTCAGAAGCTGAGATGCATGCCCTTACGGCAGGCGCAAAAAGAGTGAGCAAGATGAGCATTTAATCACACTCATCCATCAACAGCCCCATCACGTATCACATTTGTGCTGCCACAAACCCTCCTCTAGCCATCACTCACGGAGGTTCCTCAGGTTATCTGCCTTGAAGGCACTGTCTCAACTGCCACAGCCCAAGCCAGCTGGAGCCCTGATGTGGGGAACATTCTGGAGTGCACCCGTTCCAAACTTGGAATTGCTCCTTTGCAAAGACCTTGTTCAGAGCATTCTCCCTCTGAGAGGCACAAAAGCACTTCTGCATGGTTACCAATGATCAAGACAAGAGTTTTGTAAATTTCCCGAAGACCTATATGTCTGCACAGAGTGGGGTGAAGGGCAATTACGCTGCACTGGAGAGTGCCCAGCTCCGCGGCCCCCACACAGGTTTCACGCCCCCCAGTGGGTGAACGATCTGTGCTGGGCTCCTGAAGGTGGGGATTTGAGAGATCTATAAAACAGGCTCAAGGTTCCTTCCAAATATTTTTTTAAGGGCAGATAAGCAAATGTCTGCAACATTTATACACATATACTCCAAAATTTTGTCCATTCAGGCCAAATTCCAGAGCTTTTTTTCTTTTAATTTGTTTCAAAGAGATGCATTTTGAAATAGAATGATAGAGGTTCAAATCCTACGTCTACAAGTTACAGCTTCAAAACATTACCCAAAATTTTAACTTCCCTTGAGCTCTGTTTTCCTTGTTAAAATGGGCTAACACTACCAATCTTATGCAGCAGTTGTGGGTACACAATAAGATGTCACTCATAAAGTGATCAGACCACCATTGGAACCACTGGGGGGGGGG